GGGTGGCATCTGAGCTGAGACCCAAAGAAAAAGAAGTTGGCCATGTGATAAGCCAGGGGAAGAGTTCCCAGGTACAGAGAATAGAAGAACAAAGTCTTGGACTCAAAATAAAGAAAGAGAAGAAAGAAGGAAGAGAATATGGCACGTTAAAGGAACTGAAAGGAAATCGGTATATCTAGTGCGTAACGGCCATCAGGGAATGAGGAAGTGGAATGAGATGAGGCTAGAAAGGTAGGGAAGGACTAGGCCATGTAGGTTCTTCGAGGTCCACAGTAAGGAGTTTGATTTTTTTTTTTCTTTTGTACTTGTAAATGCAATTAGAAGCCTCTGAAGGGTTTTAAAGAACAAAGTTATATAATCTGCTTTAATATTTTAAAATACTCATTCTGGCTGCTGCGTGGATATTAAATTATAAGGAAAGAAGAGTAGATGCAAGAAGATCAATTAGGAGATAAGAAATGATGGTGACATGAAAAAGAATAGGATATAGTTTAGATACAGGACCAACAGAACTTGCTGATGAATTAGGCATGGGACTTGGGGGAAAGGAATCAAGAATAACTCATGGTTATTAGAATAAGCAAATGGGCAGGTGGCGTTCTAGTTTACTAAGCCATAAAAGGACTAACAAATGGAACCAATTAGGGGACAAGAAGTGTAGGAGGTTGAATTCAGTTTGAACACACAAATTTAAAATGTACATGATAACAAAAAAATATATACAGTGTCAAATAGCAATTGAACATAGGGGTCTGGAACACAGGGTATAAGATTAGATTGTTGATATACATTTGGGAGTTGTCAATTTAGAGGAAATGTTAAAAGCTATGGGGGACTGACACAACCACCCAGGGAGAGAGTGTATGCAGAGAAGACAGCCAGGACTAAGGGGTTCAACTGTAATATCCAGAAGTAGACAGAACAAGAAACACTAACAACAGTTCCTAAAAACCATCCAGAATTGATAATAAGAGTAAATAGGAAAATGTGGTATCATAGATGCCAAGAAAATAAAGTGTTAAAGAAAGGAGTAAAAGACTATGTTAAATGCAACTGGGTCAAAAAATCTTGTAAAATATTAACAGAACTACCCTCCAAATTTGGTGGAGGTGGAGGTCACTGATGACTATGATAACAAGTTTCAGGAGAAAAGTGGTTGAAAGGCAGATTGGGGTTGGTTAATAAATATATGGAAGATGGCAAGAAAATGGAGATAGTATATGTGAGCAACTCTTTTGAGGATTCTGATTATAAAAGAAACAGAGAAATATGGCAGTAGCTGGAGGGAAATGTGGGATAATTAAAAGAGTTTTTAAAGAAAGGAGATAATAAAAACATGTTTGAGGTCAAAAGAAACAACTCAGAAGGAAAGACAATGATGCAGGAACAGGAGCAAAGTCCTTGAGAAGCTGGAAAGGGATAGGAACTGGCTAGCTTTTGATAGGAGCAGACCCATTTCTTCCAAAATGTGTTTCTGCTTCCATGAGAGACGATTAGTACAGATGTTGGAAAGCTTGGAGATTATATAGCAGAAAAATGAGTGCTTTTCTTTTCACTGTGAATGAGAGGTTAGCAGCTGGGGCGGAGGTAGGGGGAACAAGGGTGAAGTGGAGTGTTAAAAGCATGAGAAATATGAAGGTGTAAAATAGACATTTTGTCTAGCTGGAGAGCAACAGTGTCGAAAGAGACTGCTCTGGCATACAGTGTCGAGCAGCCACTGAACTTTGTGGGGATAACTTTCTTCACTTTTAGTGATTCAGCTGTAGACTAAGACAAGGCAGACAATTAGCTTCAACCAGAGTTTTGCCTGGCTGCCAGTTTTCACATTCTCATTGTTCCTTTTCTCCATATCAGTAAAAATGACAGAGGAAACATGAGAGATATGAAAGAAAGGCATAAACATTTACATTAAAAGGTACTTACAGCAAGGCAAGTATAGACAGAAGCATACTTTTTCATTTTCTCTATCCCTATGCAAGGCAATAATGAAAATCATTGCTCAAAGTTGACACTCCCATCTACTACAGTCATCCAATGGATGGTTTCCATACTTACAAGCCCATCTGGACTTAGACAGGCTATGGTAAGTGCAAAAGAGATTGGGGAGAAAAATAAAACAAACAAAAAAACACATTTGGACTCTGGAATAATGAAAGGGCTACTGTCAGAACAATTACATATATAACCTTTAGATGTTACATGTAATACCAAATCGTTTCCCTCAATAGTGATATACTGTTTTGGTAACATGGAAATATTCCAATTATCCATAGTACAGTCAACCAAAATTCTCTCAATACTTTCCCAGTTAAAAATATTTATTTACTTTCTTATAGGCAAAAGAGCTAAGTAATGTTCAAACAATGATCACATGATCATCACAGAAAATTTTTTTTCTATTTCAATGATTCAAATGACTATAATATATGATACATAAATACTGAAAGAAATTTAGCCATTTGAAATGTAGTATATTAAAATATTAAATATCTATAAAACAAACAAAGCTCCAAATACTTTACCCACAAATATGCTTAAGGAACAATTGGAATTAGATTAAGATTCAGTGGAACTTGAACATAAGCTAGAGCATCTTCTTGCTAAGTTTTCCTGAAAACTTATAAATTGATCGAAGTATTAATATTTAAGAATATTTCCAAAAATGCTATCACTTTAAAAATTCTTGCTTCTATCAATTTTACCTGCTTTAAAAAACAACCTTTTAACTACTTCTGCCCCTACTTCCCAAATCCTCCAAAATATTTTATTTTCCCATAAATTGAAAAGCTGTGTCAATTAGAATGTGGAAAACCTGATTTTGTAACTCAGCTTTAGCTTATTATTATGGGTAAAATGTACATAGTGTTAACAGTTATGTAATTGACTCTGGCTTTTATTCCCATAGAAACTGAAAATGAATTACTAAAAATGGGATATACTGATAAAAGAGTGCTTAAATTAAAACATCCCATATTTGGTGTTCTGGCATCAGTTTCCAGAGAAGCAAGAATAAAATGACAGCTTGGCAGCTAAGCTGTGAGGAATTTTTTATAGGTTTTAGCTTAAGCCGGCCAGCTGTACCTCTAGATGATAATATTTTTGGTTCTATATCAAGTAAAATGCTTTGTTTGAAAAACCCAAAGAAAAATATGAATACATACCTTATTGGTTATTATAATTACATTATACAGTTTAAAATGCCAAGCAAACTATAGACATATATGCTGAAAATTACTATTATGAATACTAGTACATTCGATAGTTGGGGGAAAAAGTTGAACATAATGAGTTTTAATACTGTGAGGAAAATAGTATTTTAACAGATACAGGACAACTCTTGTATTTCTTTCACTAACATCAAGTACCAAGAAGATAAAGACTTGGTAAAATAATTCTTTTTCATGTAAATATTAGAAACATAATTCCTTTGGTGAATTGTATATGTTGTTGACAAGAGACCATATCAAATCTACTACATAGAATGGATTAAAAGCATTGCATGATTTGGGGAAAAATAATCAAGAATATAAATAAAATAGAACTAATAATAATGAGCTATATTTTCACTATCACTTTAATATAGACATACAACCAAATAAACCTAGAAAAATATTTTGGGCTATAATGATCTGTAAAATAATCTTTAAGTTAGGGGCATTAAACTATGTCAAAACACTATCTGTTGGCATCTGTATTTTCAAAAGAACTGTTTAATGTAAATTGAAGATTCCTGCTATTTGTTAAAATTCATGCAAGTTAGGCATACTTGAATTTTGTGTTTAAGTTACATGTTATGTGTCATTTTAATTATTTATTCCAGCAAGAAGATGATGTGATTTAGTATCTTCAAAATAACCTATAAAGAAGTTTTCATTATTAGAAATCATCAGATGAACCATAGCCTTCTTAAAGAGTAACATCCTCACCAGACTGATGACGTGTATGGTGTCCAGATGCCTCAACAGACTGCCTTTGTTCACTGTCTGGAGAAGAGAGCAAAGAAGTAGAATGAGGGCTTTCTGTGGAAGATGATGCTGAATGAGCTTGAGCTGACGTCGCAGAGGATGTAGAAGGTTGAAGAAATTGTTCAGCTGGAGCATCTACTTCCATTGCAGTTTCACCCACTTCCAACTCAGGACTTGATGGGACGGTAGGAAGAGTTGAAACATCTGACTGACTCGTTCCACCTTCAAAATATACATGTTAATGTAAATTCAAATTTTAAATATTTTCCAAAACCAACTCCTCTAAAGAGATATGTTCAGGAAACATATATACACTTGTGCATGCACACACATATATGTAACTTCAGGATAACAACAACACCCACTGGTGGTTTGGTCCATTTGAACAAATAAGCTAATCAAGAGTGGTAAAAACTTATCGACAACATATTCTTGTTAAAACAACCAATCTTTCCAATTACATAAAACTTTTTAATCTATTTTATATATTTCCATTCACAGTACATTTAAAAGGGTCTTAAAACAGGGACTCGGGCTCTTCCACTTTTTTTTGAGAAAAGCAAAAGGTAAGGGATAGGGACCTTGGGGTGGGGAACCTGTGGCCTTTCTGGATCCTCGAAGGTGGCCTTTTGACGGAATCCAAATTTCACAAATCCCTTTATTAAAAGCATTTGTTCTATGAAGTTTGGATTCAGTCAAGGGCTGTACTTGGGGATCCAGAGGACCACACGTGGCCTTGAGGCCACAGGTTTCCCACCTCCTGGCCCAGAGGACAAATTATACCCAATACTTTTTGTTCTCTACTGCTTCACAAAACACAATAAGAACCTTGTGATTACTGTAGATGTAAACCATGGTATAGTTTAGATAATATAAATAAAAACGATTTCAATAGTTTTTGCCAGTTTTATGACTTTAATTAATATGAAAAATTACCTCTGGGTCGAGATCTTCCTCTTCCTCTATTGCTTTGCGCAACTTCACTTGCTTCTTCAAACCATCTTGATAACATATCAGACATTCTCTGCATCAATGACACATTGGGACTTTGCTCTCCTATTACAATATAGGTCTTATCAGTGAGTTTAATAATAAATCAGGATCTTTCACTAATGCAAAAACCTAGATTTGAGGGGCTTTAAAATGGAAACAACTTTAAAAAAATCAAATTGCTTAAATAAATTACATAAATTTATTAGAGCCATCATCACATTTTATAGTAATGTCTATATGAGTGACTCTCCGGCTTACTGTATGGTAAAGTTCCTTGAGAACAGGGCACTAATCTCCTTTATCTTTGCCTATTCTTACATAACTCCACGCCTTCCACTCCTACCCCAACCTTTATCCTTCCTTCCAAGAATGCCCAGCCAGGAAGGGCTCATGAATTCTAAGTTGAATAGATTAAAAGAAAGTTTTTCTCTCTCACTAAAGCATTATCATCAAGTACAGACACAAAACAGCCTTATGTTTTTGCATGAATTTTCCTTAAACTGAATTTATTTTTCATCATCATTTACAGTAAGCAAATTCCAGATATCTGAAATCAACTGGAACCAGAAAGTATTCTTTCTTCACTCCTTTTCCTCTTTAAATAAATGAATTTTTCTTAACGGAGTTTTCAAATTAAAAGTATGGTGTCAAATTAAAATTGTGACAACTCTATTCTACAATCATATAATTTGAAGTGAAAATCATTTGTTTCTACATTTTCTCTGAAATCAGAATTTATTTTACACTTTATTGCCTTTATGTAATGTAGTTTTATATTTAAATATATACCGTAAAATAATACCAAGGACAATACTTGTATATTGGGGAATATGTTTTTGATGACAGAAGAGGTTTCAGAAGTCATAAGAAAAAGAATTTAGCTACAGACCCATTTAATAAAAGACAGCCATATTAATTCTATTTTAAAGTGTGCTACCTTAAAGCTCCCAAGGTAGTTTCTTATGTGTGTCAAAAGCACTTGATAGAAAGAAAAAAAAAAATTTATGTGTTATTATAAAACTCTGTTAGAAATTAACAGTTTTCATTTTTCTTTACATATAATAGAAAAGCAAAAATTAAGAAGTTTGATAATATACAATTTTGGGGGGTCAATGGGGCATTCTTATACTTTCAGTGGGAATGTAAATTAGTGCATCTTTTTGAGGGAGTAATTTGATAAAAATTAAAATGTACTTATCCAGTGACTCAGCCATTTCACTTCTAAGAATTTATCCTAATATGTATTTGCACAAATTATCAAGATATGTATACGAGGATGCTCATTATAGCATCATTTACAATAGTGAACAAACTGGAACCACGCTAAAATATTAATTTTTAAATGACATATACCAAAAAAAGCTAACTAAAGTATAGTTACCATCTCGTTCTCGTTCACTCTCAGGTCTTGCTCTGGGCCCAGTATCTGACCAATCACCACGAAGTCTCAAACGCTTAACTGGAGGCTGTCGTAACTAAAAGATAAGGATAGGTGGATTCTATGTAAGTCTAAAACTCATTTGCTCTTGACTCCTAAAGCATACTTTAAATCTAATAGATTATTTCCACCCCCCTACTTTCTTTATTGAGTATGCAAGTGAGATGCTAGAACAAAATATGAAAGCCACTGATATAAGCTAAATCAGTTTGTTGCAGCATTCACTATGATAATAAATATCCACTGATATTAACAGCCTGTACTTAATATCTTCAACCTAAAGACTCTGACTGCAAATTTGAAATCTTATGAGATTTCTTACACTTCTTTGTGATTTCTAATCCTACCTGTATCACTTTCCAGCTAACAACAGGATATTTAATCACCTTGAGCCTTAGTTTTCTATTGTGAAGACAAATATCATCTAGGTGAAGTACCTACACATTTAACAATGAGAGTTATCATTATTTTTACATATTATTTACAATTTACTCTTCAGTCCCCCAGCATCTATTCCAACCCTTTATCACCTGTCTCAAGTTTCTATTTCATCTTACTGCCTTCATTCTTGGCTAATAACTTTTCCTCCTACTTCAGAGAAAATAAAGTCCTGTAGAAATGACATCAATATCTTCAGCTGAATTCTACAAATTTTTCTATATCCACAATTTTCTAATTCCTTCCAACCATTCTCAAGGGATGTATCATTTATTCTGTTTAAACTTAATCTCTCCATCTGTACTTTTTATTTCACTCCTTCAACTCCTCAAGCACCTTGCTTCAACAATTATTCTCTTTTCTACACTTACATCCATCTTCTCTCTCCTGGTTCTTTCTTACAACATGCTAAAGATTCCCATCATTTTTAATAAACAAAACAATATCTCGCTTTTATGAAATCTCAATTTTATATTTCTATTCAGCAACAGTCCTTTCTCTTGCTTTTACTTTATTCTCAAGCTTCTTCAGAAAAGTCTATATTCATTCTATCTACCACTCCTCCTTCAATACAGTGTAGTCAATCCTTCCATTGATTTCCCATCCTTCCACTGATTTCATTCTTGCCAAGGTTACCAGTGAATGATTAATTGCCAAGTTCACTCATCAGGTATAAAAATGGTCAATAATATGATCAATAATCAAATTGCCAAGTCAAATGACACCTTTCAAAGCCTATTTGACATGTTTATGGCATCTGACACTCTCAACTACTCCGTTTAATTTTTACACTTTTAACATTTTTTATTAAAATATAATTCACATACCATAATATTCAACTTTTTAAAGTACATGATTCAGTGGTGTATATTCACAAAGCTGTGCAACAACCATCATGGTCTAATTCCAGGACATTTTTATCATCCCAAAAAGAAACCCCATATCCATCAACAGTCACTCCCCACTAATCCCTCCACTCAGCTCCTGGCAACCACCAATCTACTTTCTGTCTTCATAGATATGCTTAGTCTAGCACACTAACTGCCACACTAGAAATTTTTTTTTTTCCTTTGGGCCAGAGTATTTATTATGAAAATATAATAAAAACTTTGAAAACAAAATGATTCTAATGAAAAATTTGTTATCTTTTACTGTTTTCTGTGCGTGAGTTACAGGCAACTTGAAAAATAGTTCACACGGCTCAAAGTAAAGAGACATGTGAGTTACATATGTTTCACGAAGCCCTGGGCTGAAAACCAGTGTGAGTTAAATACAACTCACATGGTAGTTAATATGCTAGACATTTCATATAAATGGAATCATACAATATGTGGCCTTTTGTGTCTGGCATTTAGCATAATATTTTCAAGGTTTATTCATATCATAGCATTTATCAGTATTCTTTTTATGCCCAAATAGTATTCCATTTTATGGATATATCACATTTTGTTTATCCATGCATCGGTTGTATATTGACTTGTTTCCACTTATTAGCTATTATGAAAAATGCTGCTATTGAGCATGTACAAGTTTTTGTAGAAACATGTTTCAATTCTTTTGAGCATACAAACATACCTTGTTTTGTTGTACTTTGCTTTACTGAGCTTCACAATGTTTTTTTACAAAGTGAAGGTTTTTGGCAGCCCTGCCTCGAGCAAGTCTATTGGTTCTATTTTTCCGACATCATGTGATCATTTCATGTCTCTGCATCACATTTTGGCGATTCTCACAATATTCCAAATTTTTTCATCATTACTGTATCTGTTTTTCTTATGATACATATATTGATTTTCACCCATGGTTCCTGGCTTATAACTCCCATAGCCCTTGTTACACCAAACAGAAGTGCTCTCTCCGATCTCCTGCCTTCCTTTCACCTGCCCAAGGCAAGACTCTAATCTGATTGTGGGTTATAAGACCCTCATTCCAGAGAGGGTCCAGCCCCATACCCTGAAGGAAGGAATGCTACAGGGAGAGGCTAAGAGGAATCTGAAACAGACAGGCCTTACTGAGTTTAGATCATACCCTTTTTGTCCAATCACATTTCAACACAGTTGTCCATGCTTCAATCATGTCTATCCAATCAAGTCTCCATTAAAACCCCAAGGGTTTGGGGAGCTTCCGGATAGCTGGACACATGGAGGTTCCTAGAGGGTGGCATGCCCAAGGAGGGCATGGAAGCTCTGGGTCCCTTCCCCCACACCTCGCTCTATGCATTTCTTAACTGTACCCTTCATAATATCCTTTATAATAAACCAGTAAATGTGTTTCCCTGAATTCTGTGAGCTGCTCTAGCTAATTAATCAAATTCAAAGAGGAGTTACGGAACCCCAAATTGAAGTCGGTGGGTCAGAAGTTCTGGAGACCTAGACTTGCAACTTGGTGTCTAGGGGAGGGAGGAGGGAGTCTTGAGAGACTGAGACCTCAACGTGTAGGATCTGATGCTATCTTCACATAGACGGTATCAGGACTGAATTGGAGAACACCCATTGATATCCACTATAGAACTAATTACTTGCTGGGTGGTGGGGAGACCTCCTCCTTTGGTCACAGAAGTTTTCTGTGTTGATTGTTGTTGAGTGAGAGAACTAAACTCTGTTAGTGTTTTTTTTCCTCTCACAATTACTGTGATCTATGATCAGTGATCTTTGATATTACTACTGTAATTGTTTTGGGGCTCCACGAACTGCACCCATATAAGAATGTAAACTTAATAGATAAATGTGTGTGTTCTTACTGCTTCACCAACCAGCCACTCCCACTCCCCTCTCCCTTTCCCTCTCCTTGGGCCTCCCTATTCCTCGAGACACAACAATATTGAAATTAGGCCAATTAATAATGCTACAGTAGCCTCTGAGTATTCAAGTGAATGGAAGAGTTGTGCATCTCTCATGTTAAATCAAAAGCTATAAATGATTAAGCTCAGTGAGGAAGACATGTCAAAACCCATGACAGGATGAAGGTTAGGCCTCTTGTGCCAGTTAGCCAAGTTGGGAATGCAAGGGAAAAATTCTTAAAGGAAATGTAAAGTGCTACTCCAGTGAACACCTGAATGACAAAAAAGCAAAAATAGCTTTATGGCTGATATGGAGAAAGTTTTAATGGTCTGCATAGAAGATCAAACCAGCTATGATATTTCCTTAAGCCAAGGCCTACTCTAGAGCAAGGCCCTAACTCTCTTCAATTCTATGAAGGCTGAGAAAGGTGAGGAAGCTGCAGAAGAAAAGTCTGAAACTAGTAGAAGTTAGTTCATAAAGTTAAGGAAAGAAGCAGTCTCCATAAAGTAAAAATGCAAGGTGAAGCAGAAAGTGCTGATGTAGAAGCTACAGCAAATTATCTAGAATATCTAAGATAACAGATGAAGCTGGTCACACTGAACAACATACTTTCAACGTAGATGAAACAGCCTTCTATTGGATGAAGAAGCCATCTAGGACTTTATACCTAGAGAGGAGAAGTCAATGCCTGGCTTCAAAGCTTCAAAGGACAGGCTGACTCTCTTGTTAGGGGCTAATGCAGCTGGTGACTTCAAGTGGGAACCAATGTTCATTTACCATTCTGAAAATCCTAGGGCCTTTAAGAATTGTGTTAAATCTCCTCTGCTTGTGCTCTATAGATGGAATAACAAAGACTGGATGACAGCACATCTGCTTACAGCATGGTTTACTGAATATCTTAAGCCTACTATTGAGACCTCCTGCTCAGAAAAAAAAAGATTCCTTTCAAAATATTACTGCTCATTGACAATGCAGGTCATCCAAGGGCTCTGATGGAGACATACAAGAAGATAAATGTTGTTTTCATGCCTGCTAATACAAGCTTGCTGACACAACATCCATTCTGCAGCTTGTGGATCAAGGACGGAGTAATTTTGATTTTTAAGTCTTATTATTTAAGAAATATGTTTTGCAAGGCCATAGCTACCACACATGGTGATTTCTCTGATGGATCTGGGCAAAGTAAATTGAAAACCTTCTGGAAAGGATTCATCATTCTAGATGCCATTAAGAACATTTTTGATTCATGGGAAGAGGTAAAAATATTAACATTAACAGGCATTTAGAAAAAGTTTATTCCAACCCTCATGGATGACTTTGAGGGGGGTTCCAGGACTTCAGTGGAGGAAGTCACTGCAGATGTGGTAGAGATAGCAAGAGAACTAGATTTAACAGTGGATCCTGAGGATGTGACTGAATTTCTGCAATCTCTTGATAAAACTTTAAGAGATGAGGAGCTGCTTCTTCTGAATGAGCAAAGGAAGTTGTTTCTTGAGGTGGAATCTACCCCTGGTGAAGATGCTATGAACATTACTGAAATAACAACAAAGGATTTAGAATATTATATAAACTTAGTTGATAAAGCAGCAACGAGGTCTGAGAGATTAACTTCAATTTTGAAAAAAGTTCCTGTGGGTAAAATGCCATCCAACAGCATTGCCTGCTACACAGAAATCATTCGTGAAAGGAAGAGTTAATCAATGCAGTAAACTGCATCCTTGTCTTATTTTAAGAAGTTGCTACAACTGCTGCAACCTTCAGCAACCACCACTCTGACCGGTCAGCAGACATCAACACCAATCAGGACCCTCCACCAGCAAAAAGACTGCAACTTGCTGAAGGCTCGGACGATTGTTACTACTTTTTAGCAACAAAGTTTTTTGTTTTTTGTTTTTTTTTGAGACAGAGTCTCACTCTGTTACCAGGGCTAGAGTGCAGTGGCATCAACCTAGCTCACAGCAACCCCAAACTCCTGGGCTTAAGCGATCCTTCCGCCTCAGCCTCCCAAGCAGCTGGGACTACAGGCATGCGCCACCATGTCCGGCTAATTTTTTCTATATATTTTTAGTTGTCCAGCTAATTTCTTTCTACTTTTTTTTTTTTTTAGTAGAGATGGGGGTCTCGCTCTTGCTCAGGCTGGTCTCGAACTCCTGACCTTGAGCTATCCGGCCGCCTCGGCCTCCCAGAGTGCTAGGATTACGGGCGTGAGCCACCACGCCCAACCAAAGTATTTTTAATTAAGGTCTGTACATGTTTTTTTAGACATAATGCTATTGCACATTTACTAGACTGCAGTATAGTGTAAATATGACTTTTATTTAAACTAGAAAACCAAAAAATTTGTACAACTTGCTTTATTACAATATTCTTTTTATTGTGGTGGTCTAGAACCAAACCTGCAATATCTCCAAGGTATGCCTGTATATGTAGGAGTGGAATTGCTGGGTCATATGATAACTGTTTAATTTTTGAGTAATTGCCAAACTGTTTTCCAAAACAGTTGCAACATTTTATATTGCCACCAGCAGTATGTGAGGGTCCCAATTTCTCCAGATCCTCCTCAACACTCATTGTTGTCTGCCTTTTTCATTTGGCCATCCACTATTTTTATTTAGTGGGTGTGAAGTTGTGCCTCACTGTGGTTTTGATTTGCATTTCCCTGTGGATTAGTGATGTTGAGTATCTACTTTTGTGCTTATTGGCCATTTGTATCTCTTCTCTGGAGAAGTCTCTTCAAAACCTCTATCTTAATATAATTTGGGTATTTGTCTTTTTGAGTTGTAAGTGTTCTTTATATATTTTGGATACTGCACTCCAATCAGATATACGATCTGGAAACATTTTCTCCCATTCTGTGGGCCACTCTTTTCATCTTTATTTTTTAAAAATAACATTCACTGATATTTTTTTCCCCTCACAATTAAGCAGGTTTTGATAAAAACTTGGCCACAGCTTAGTTGTAAATATTCTGATTTCTCCTGAAAACCATACCAAGCAACAAAGAGAACGGAGAGAAAAAAAAAATCTGGGAGTGATTACATCCTCAGATTCCATATTATGTTTAAGTATGGCTAAACAACTGAGAATAGCAAAAGCTACACAGGAAGACATAGACGTGTGAGGGGGAATAGCCAGAACAGAAAAGGCCTAGCGTGTGGCAGCTGTCCAAAACCTCAAACACATAATCACTCCCAGAAAGAGAGAGCCTCACCCTTTACAGGAACTATATTTAGAACAATATAATAGAACCCTGCTTCCTGGTTATAAGAGAGAGAAATTCTTCTATTATATAGGCAAAGAACTGGTGTTATGACCTCAGCAATTATTTCTATAATAAGATATTCAAATTAGAAACAATTCCAAATTTGATTTTTTGAGTATGTAAAATAACTTCAGTCAAGAATACTGAAAATGGTACAGCGCTCATTCATTCAGTCACCAATATTTTTTTGAGCACCTTTTATGTGTCGGGTACTATTCTAAGTATTGGAAAAGAACGATAGACAAAATAGAAAAAAAAAATCCCCAATTTCACAGAATTTATAGTCTAGTGGAGGAAATAATACATGAAATAAAAAAGTAGGATATATATAAAAAGTGATGCATTGTGGAGAAAAATAAAGTAGAAGAGGAATAAGTAGCACCAGAGGGTTAAGACTGTGATTTTAAATAGGGTGGTAAGGTAGGGCCTGACCTGGATGTTATATGCGCAAAGACCTGAAATACGTAAGGAAAGAAGAAATCCAGATATCTGAAGAAGAGTATTTCAGGCAGAGTAAATGCAAAAGTCCTAGGGTAGGAAGCATGCTTAGCCCGTCTGTGTTAGTAAGTAAGTAGATGTGGCCAGAGCAAAGGAGCGTGCAGAAGTAGTAATGGGGAACAGATAATATAAGGTCTTGAAGCCACTGTAGGGACCTAAGCTTTGCTGTGGGTGAGATGGGGAGCCACTTGGAGTATTCATGAGAAGAATGGCATGATTGGACTTATGTTTCAAAGGATCACTTTGGACACTGTGTAGCTAAAGGACTGTAGGGGGTGAAAGCAGGAAGACTGGTTAGAAAGCTACCGTACTTATACAGGAGAAAGATGCTGATGCCTCCGATCAGGGCAGTAATGTAGTGAGAGTGGTAAGTAGTAGTCAGATCTGGAACATACTTTTAGGGACAAATTATGGGGACCCAGAGAAAATGAGAATGGATTCAACAATGGATCCAACAGTGAGGTGGGGCAAGTGGGAAATTATCAAAAATATTTTGGAGGAAAAAGAGAGAAAAGAGTAAAAAGAAAAAAGGAATACAAAAATAAAGAAAAATGAGAGAATGGATAATGGATCCAATAGTGGGGTGGAGTAAGTGGGAAACCGCCAAAAATATTTTGGAGGAAAAAGAAAAAGAATGAAAAGAAAAAAAAGAATACAAAAGTAAAGAAAAATGAGACAATGGATTCAACTACTATACAATAGTGGGGTGGAGCAAGTGGGAAATCGTCAAAAATATTTTGGAGGAAAAAGAAAAGGAAAGAATAAAAAGAAAAAGGAAATTTAAAAAAAAGGAAAATGAGAAGTACAAAAAAGTTGAGTAAGACAAAAGAATATACCAAAGAAAGATGGGGAAAACATGAAAGAGAAATTATTAGAGGACATGAGAAGATAAAAAGAGGCCCCCACAAATTGAGAAAACACAAAAATATTATGGAAACATAAGAAAAAAATCATATAATAAACTTTTATTCATGCTTTAAAATCCTGCTTAAACTTTAATGTTCCCAATCAAAATCAATTATTCCCTACTTTTTTCTACTTATATAGATCAGAGTCATTGTATATATATTAAGTTTCACACATTTATTTATTTATATCACTACTTCCATTATATTGTAAATTCCTTGAATGAGGGGCCAAGTCTTTGGCTGGTCATCCTTGATTTTCTAAAGTTTAGTGTAAGACTTGGTATACAGTAGGCACCCAATGAATATTTGTTGAGATGAGTTTGTCTGAACACTATCGTCAAGGTTTTAGTATAAAACACGAAAGAAAAATGTTGAAATTAAGAGGGAGACAGATTATTAATTTCTTCTATGTATACCTCTCAATAGTTTGTTACAGTAAGTATGATTTATTTTCATAATTTTAATCCATTTTAAGAATTATTTTTCTTAATTTAGTTAATTCAACAACAAATACCATGAAAAACACTTCCAGAAAAAACCCACAGTGTTCATGACTCAGCATCATTCACTCTGACTATATAAATATCTTTTGGCAAAGTATTCTATAGTATCAAAACTAGTTGGCCCACTTAAAATGTCTATGGACTTCCAACTCTTTCATTATGTAACAGGCACAAAGCTTGACTGTAACTTAACTTACCCATATGAAATTACACAGCAACAACAAAATGACAGAGCAGATTTCATGTTTTCTACCAGAACAATAAACTCATAGTTTTCATTAGCCATCATACCCTTCTTCCTTGTCAATTTCCCAATTCACTTAAATACACTGCCACAATTAAAATCGCAAAACACATTTATAAAGTAATCCTGATTTTTTTATAATTTTATAGCCCTCTAAACCTAAAATTATGAGGACTGAGTTTGGTTTTGCATCTCATAGGAATTACAAAATCAATATTGTTCTTTAGTAACTTTTAAAATGTATTCATTAATAGGCATGAAACCAACACCAAAAAGTCATTGATATTAAAAATCTACGGTTAATTTCAGAAGACATTTACAAGCCAAAGTGTAGCGTGAATACACAAAGGACATTATAAAATAAAAAAGCCAAAGTGAAAAAACATGTCGGGGAACAAAGCTTAATAGGTTAAAAGCAAACATTTTTCTATGGCTATATACTGTCAAGGATGTATTATTTCTAAATCGTTAATTATTTTATAGTCATTTTAGTGACAGTAATTCAGTTCATTTACCTACTTTTTAATATATACACGCCTACGTTAACTTATCTTTTTCCCATTAACTCATATGTATTTTGTAAAATGTACCTAGAGATAATATTATGTGTCACTAGTCCATGGACATAAATACCTAGTCTCCTGGAAGTTTGTCATCACATTTTCTATTAGTTTGTGTTTTCTGCAAGTGTTAGAATTGCTGATCTTTCTTTTTGCTGCTATGCATCTACAAAGTTAGAGAAACGTTCTGCTATTATTTTCTCTTTAAAAATAGTTCACAATACTTTTTCTAGAGCCTTATTCTTAATTATTTATTAGCCTCTATTCTTTCAAGTATGTCTCATGTTTTTTTGTTCCCCAAACTGTAAATGCCTTTGAAAATTAATGCTATTTTTTTTCTGCCTTAGGCCCCAGGAGTCACTGAATTAATGTTTTCTGAATTGAATAAAGAGGTAAACCTACCTCTTCTCTTCTCTCTTCTGCAGAAGGAGTTTTAAGTTCTCGTGCTGTATCATCTTTTGGGTCAAAAAGATATATGTAATCTGAAGAGTAACTAACGAGAATCTCTTGACCATCTTCACTATAACACAGAGATGTCACCCTGCAGGATTTATTATTAAGATGGGAAGGGATAAAACGGGCAACCATTCCAGTAGTCCCTCGGCCTGCATAATTCCCTAAATAAGAAACAGGAAGTTATTTAAAATTAATAATATTTTAAAAAAACATTTCTAAAACTCTTAATCTGAATTATGAGATATGTGACTTAATGTAACAGTATAAATCCAAGTTATCACATTCTATTTCTAGAAGAGGTTCTTTCTTTGAAAGTGAGATTTTATAACAAAACAAAAATACAGTTTAGGCAGGGCATAGCGGCTCACACCTGTAATCCCAGCACTCTGGGAGGCCAAGGTTGGAGGATCGCTTGAGGTCAGGAGTTTGAGACCAGCCTGAGCAAGAGTGAGACCCCCGGCTCTACTAAAAACAGAAAAAAAATTAATGGGGCAACTAAAAATAGAAAAAATCAGCCAGGCGTGGTGGCGCATGCCTGTAGTCTCAGATACTCAGGAGGCTGAGGCAGGAGGATGGCTTGAGCCCAGGAGTCTGCGGTTGCTCTGAGCTAGGCTGATGCCACGGCACTCTAGCCCAGGCAACAGAGCAAGACTCTGTCTCAAAAAATAAATAAATAAAATACAGTATAAAGACAATGTATCTACAAAAAAATTCATGATTGTCTAGAATTCCAGATTATATGTTTTGTTGAAATAGGAGTTATTTGATAATTAAAATGATTTATGATTATAGTCACATGAAGTCACCTTCTAAAAGTTTCCCCCAAATTAAGTTAATTTCTACAATAGGGAAGCTATTACTTATTAGTATACCAGATAAAAGATTATAATATCCTTAAGATGATTTATCTTTTACTTTATTTTTTAAAAGATTTCTGATTGCCATGAAATTTCCCTCTTACATAGCAACAGGATAAGAATACTATTCTTATTTTAATTAACTCTGGTAGTCTTCAATATAATACAATATGCTAGGGAGGAGTACAATTGGCACTTTGTGCCCTGGGGTCCCAGGAATACTAAATTCTAAGAATCCCACAAAGCTGTATAATCTTGTACAATGAAGTTTATCCTGTTCAAAATGTCAGTTATGTCCCATCTGTTGAAAAACAATCATTAAGCCTGTAATTTCATATCACTACTGTTCCCCCTAAATGTACATATCCAAATAGACAGCACTCCTCAATCACAGTTCAAAAACGAAAGATCTCGTCTGGTATCCCCATTTCCATGATCTATGTCCATTTTTACTGACATCATTGGTTTCTGCCCAAGTCTACTTTTTTAAAAACAATTATCATATATGTGAATATATGACTATATATTTAATATTTGTGTTTGGGTGTGTATATATGTGTGTCTGTGTGCGTAAGTAATCCTGGCCTGTCTTTACTGGGAACATGCTAACTGAAGTTGACTTTCAGTTGATTATTTTAGAAGTGGTTCGATCCCACAGTGAATGAAGAGAGAAATATCTGGTTTAAATTAGATTCAAATTCAGTACTGCAGCATTATTAACAGGACTTCAAGCTAAGCAGGCATAAGTATATGCTATACTTTAATACATACTCAAGTCACTATTCTAATTTTTCTCTCCACCGCGTTTACCATTATCCTCTTGATTGAAAAATGGCAGAGTCCCCACCAAAATTCAGGTCAATCCAATACCTCAGAATGTGACTTTACTTGGAAATAGGGTCTTTACAGATGTAATTAGTTACAAAGAAGTCATACTGGATTAGGGTGGGCCTTAAATGCAGTATGATGGGTGTCCTAAGAAAAGGAAAATGTAGACACAAATTCACACAGGGGAGAATGGCATGTAAAGACGGAGGCAGAGTTTGGAGTGTTACGTCTACAAACCAAGGGATTACCAAGGATTGGCAGCAACCTTCAGAAACTAGGAGAAAGGCATGGAGCCTCTAGTAGAAACCAACTCTTAGACATCTTAGATTTCAAACATCTAGCCTCCAGAAATGTGAGAGAAGAAACTTTGTTGTTTTAACATCCCCAGTTTATGGTAATTTGTTATGGCAGTCCTAAGATACCACGTGTTACAAATTTTAAAAGCGGTAAGATAAACTGCAAAATTATCTTCCCAACCGAGTCATAAAAACTTGGCGAAATGCTATTTTTTATGATAATCTACACTATTTATATACATTCTATTTCCTGAAATTTTATAACTAAAGAAATTCTAAAATTGAAAACATGTCATAAAGACTCTTTGAACTGATAGTCTTACATTTGCTTTAATATTATCTTCTTACCTGTAGCTCTTGTGCCCAGCATTCGCCGATCATATATTCGTACTGAGCTATCAGAACAACCAACAGCAAGATAATATGGTATTGGTGGACAAATAGCTACAGATGTGGCAGCACGTCGACAGTTAATTAAAATATCCTACAAAAGATAACATAATACCAGCTACATCGAACTATACAATAGAGAACACTACATTTAAAACTGTCTCCCTTTAGTAATTAGAAGAAAATAACCAGAAATCCTAATTCAGTCAGCATAACAATGAGGGGAAAAACAACAATATGGTTTTCTTTTAGTTTATTTTTCCAGTTTCTACTAGAAATTGTTTCTAACACATTGAGCCCATGTGAAACCAAAATAAATATACTCAGTCAATACTCGTCCTTAGCAATTTATCACTCTAACAAAAATACTTTTTCTTTTTTGTTTGCTATACAGATCCAAAATTAATTGATTTCTACTACAATATTGTACACTTTCCTTACAAACTAATCAAAGTATTATGTGGAAACACTAAACTTAGAGATTTAAAATTTACACCCAAATATAAGACTAAAACACTGAGTAATTACGCTAGATCAGCAGCAGCTAGAAACAGCTGGTAATAATTCAAGAAACTACTTATTTATATTACCACAATTAAAACTAAAACCCTTTTCAAAACAAGCTACATTTCATATGATAATGTTATAATACAATTTGAATTATTACTCAGAAATGCCTGCTAAATATTGTCATACTCATGAATAATGAAAATCTTCTTTAGAAATGTAAAAAACTCATACATTACCTATGTAATGTATCACTAAGTCATTAATACCACTAAAAATGGCTGCTATTATTGGTCCATTTGACAGTAAAGATGGATTTATAATCTACCTTTGTCTATAATACATATTGATGATTATTTTATATGGTATTCATAATATTTTAATTATAATCATTGTTATTAAAATACAACAAAAATATTAACTAATTTAAAAATTTTATACTTTTCTTAACTTGTAAAATCTTTCTCCTTATCAGTCCGCAAAATAAAATACACACATACATACAAATCCTGCAAAAGACAGAGAAGCATTAGAAGATGTAAGAGCTGTTACCCCATACATAAATCCTTAAAGCACTCTGTTGATTCCACACCTGTTCTGTCTAAATGACTCTGGCTCCTCACTCTTCTCAGTATAGCCATGTTTTTAAATTCCTTTACCTTACGCTTTATTTAATTATTTACCTTACAACATTACACAGAATTCATTTACTAAATGCCTTTCATAATTCTAAGTTTTTAGTAGTTAAGAATTACTCTAGTTACCAGTTTCTCTTTATATTCTTTGCCTCTAGTCACTTTTATACATAAGGGAAAAATTTTATTAAAGAAAGAGTAATTTTACTTCTCATCAGACTTGCTTTCTTATTTTCATGGGGTTTTTGTTTAGAAAAGCACAAGAAAATCCTACTATACACTAAAACGCAGTTTAAAAAAATTTGGAATAACAAATTTTAATACTCACCACTTACTAAGAAACAGGTATACCAAATGCTCCTAATAACCTAATATTTAAACTTATTTCTGCCTTCAGTTCAGTGCTTTCCTATATTTATGTATGGGTGTACATATATACACATACATAATAAAATGGTATGTTTAAAATTTTTTCAATTTTTCCTTTTTTTTTGTTTTTCTTCTCTGTTTCAAATATATCAAATAATCTTTTTACCCCTAAAGCATGTTAACTATAATAACTGGTTTGGTTAGCAAACATCTAACCTGATTATCAGTGATTTTTTTTTCTAACTTTCAGTAAAAATATATTAAACAATACTTTTTTATTTCATTTACTACTTCAAAATGATCCAAGAAAAAGCTACTGTGCTCTCAATAATGTATGGCAGAGAAAAACACTTAGAATTAGATGTCTGGGGTCAAAAGACTGAATGATTTCTCAGGTCTTTTATAAGTTTAAAATAGCATTAAAAAGTAAAAAACTGATATTAAAGATACACCTTTACAGAAATGAGCTAAATTTGACTGAATATGTTATAGAATGGTATCTTATTATTTCCTTAAAAAAAAAAAGATAGCATATAATTTTTGGTTTAAAAGACAGAGGGAAAAAAAGACATTAAACTACCACAAGCTTTTATTATTGCTATTGGGTTAAGTTAAAACTGTTTCTATAAGTAAATGAGATATATTGATAAATTCCTCAGGTTTTTATAATACTAGAGAGTGTATACTGAACAATTACACAAATTTTCATAAATATATTTTAAATGTACAATTAAAATATGAGCTCAACTTCAGTATTAACATTTTAATTTTAAAAATTGTGATCATAAAATATATGCTTATTGAAAATTTTTACAAAATAAAAAAATTTAAAATTCACCCATAATCTTTTCACCAAGATAATTTACTGTCCAATTTTAATTATAACCTTAATTTTTTCTCACTTGTACAAAAATTGGATTCTTACATCTTTGCAATCTTCTTTTGTGCAGCTAGTTTTGATGCGTGTATCAAACCACCTAACCGTTCCATCTTCACCACAAGACAGAAAAGTGTAAGGGTCATTTGGTACAGTCATAATCTGAAGACGAAAACAAAATTATAGGTAAACATACTGAACATTTAAACAGATGGCTTTGAAAAACATTCCTACTATTTCATCAAATATTTAAGGTAAAGGCAACAAAAATCATGTATTTTAATTATTATCACTTACAATATAATACAAAACAGTATAATACAGATAGAAACACACAAGTAGCAATTAAATTAATATGATTTACTACTTTGAAAATTAGAATTAATATAATTTCAGATAGAAAGTTCATTAAAATTATAAACTTTTAACAATTTGACAAGAAAGATTCTCCCCTAGGTAGATATTCAAAGCCTAATTTTTACATTTTCTGTATGTGAACTTATAATTGTATCATAGATATGTAAGAAAATTTTCTTCTCTGATAATGTTTAAGAAAACTGTGGGATGCTGAAATGTTTTAAGCACATAAACTGACCTCTCAAATTTTGTAATGGTGGTGATTGTTACTTACACAGCAATGTGAATGTACTTAATGCTACTGAAATGCACACTCAAAAACAGCTAAGATGGGATATTTTATATTTTACCACAATAAAATCCCTTTTAAAAGAATTTAAATATTTTAAATATTCCTATATCTACTTATAATTTAGCAATGACAATATTGTAAGTTGAGGCCCTCTGTGAACCCTGCCTCAACTAGTTGCCCTCTCCTTCTGTCCCTAGAAGTAAACAGTTCCAAAACTGGGTATTTAGCATTCCCATACATGGCACTCAAACAATGGAAGGTATGTTTTTATGTTTGAAATATTGTATATATGAAAAGGTGCTCAAATTCATTAGTCATCAGGGAAACACAAATTAACACCACAAGGAAATACCACTATACCCTACCAGAATGGTCAAAATGAGACACTAATAATATCAAGTGTTGATGAGGATGTGAAGCAACTGGAACAATCACACATTGTCAATGGGATTGTAAAATGGTGCAATCACATGGAAAACCATGTGTCAATATGTACTAAAACTGACCACGTCTCTCTTGTAACCCACCAATTCCACTAAAAATAAACGCATAGGGGCATCTAAAGACATGTGCTAGAATGTTCACAGCAGCATTCTTCGTATTAGCCAAATATGTGAAACAACCCAAATATCCAACAAAAGAGTGGGATTAGAAATTGCGATCTATTCCTAAATTGCAAGAACAATGTACAAACCATTACTATCCATAGCAACATAAATGAGTCTCACAAACCTCCTGTGTGAACAAAGCCAGACACAAAGAGAACACACAACATGAATCCCATTTATATAAAGTTCAAAAAAAGAGGAAAAAGTTCAGAAAAAGAGGCATAACTAATCTTTGCTGTTACAAGACTAGATGTGGTAAACCCTATGGGGGGCACAAAGGACCTATTGGGGGCTGTTTTTCTTCTAGGTATACATGTATATTTTGTGAAAATTAATCAAGTTGTACACAAACGATGCCAGCACTTTTCTGTATAATTATTTTTAAAAAGTTTACTTAGACAACCTTTGTTTTCTATTATCATGGTAAGCAGAATAATGGTCCCCCAAAGACGTCCATGTCCTAATTGTTAACCTATGAATACACTACTTTAGTAAATTGCAAAAGGCAGTTTGTGGATATGATTAAATTAAATGTAGGTACTCACACAGTAGTAATATTCTTTGGGGATTGGGGGTTTGGGGGTGGGTAAACTCACAATTAATGGACACGGTGAGCATTGTAAGGGGGAAAGGGCACACCTCAAATCATGGTTTTTGTGTGGCAAAGTCATAACATGTAACCAAAATGGTTGTACCCCCATAATATCCTGAAGTAAAAAAA